ACTGGCCTCAAATTTGCAATTCTCCAGCCTCAGTCTCCTCAGTAACTGAGATTACAGGCATGCACTACCATGCCCTGTTTAAAATTAAGTCTAAAGGAATAATAAACCTTAGTGATCATTCATGATTTCATTCATTTTTATATGAAAATTACTACACTTCAATTACATAAAACCTGAGTTAATCTGCTTGCTTGTTTATAATGTGAAACTGAAGTTATTATATCCATATTTCAGTTTGAATAGCAACAGTATTCTATGTCCAGTGTAGAACTCTTCCTTGGGCAAAACCATTGGAAAAGAGCATTGCAATATCATACTGCTGTTAACTGTTTTCTAGGTCAAATAATGCTTGTTATATCAGTGGCAGGACCTCCAAAAGAAATCCACTAGGCAGAATTAGACAGAAACCACCCTCTCTCCTTTGAAACTGTGCATTCTACATCTTTATTAAAGAGCTAATCAAGCTTTTTTTGCAATTTACTTATGACTTTGCTCCATGAGAACTTTGGAATGCTTGAGAGTAAGGTCTAGGTCATGTTTATCTTCATAATCACAGAGCTTAGCACACATTATATCTTAAAATTTGTAGAATTTAATCAGAGTCAGGAACTGAAATATTGAGTAGTCTGCCCTATGTGCTAACCATGAATTATTTCATTCTTCTCAGCATTAAGAATCCCTTTAAAGCTATTTTTACCCTTAATGAATTTCACATTTTGACAGATTTCTACCAAATTACAATTTTAGAAATAATCTCTGGTTTCTGATAACTGTTGATATAAACATATACCATACCAGTTGGAAAAAATCCAATCAAGAGTAAAGAAATTTAGCCAGGTGTGGCAGTGCATCCCTATAAGCCTCTAATTCCAGTGGCTCGGGAGGCTGAGGCAGGAAGATCTCAAGTTCAAAGCCAGCTTCAGCAATGGCAAGGCGCTGCTAAACAACTCAGTGAGACCCTGTCTCTAAATAAAATACAAAATAGGACTGGGGATGTGGCTCAGTGGTCTAGTGCCCCAAGTTCAATTCCCAGTACCAAAAAAAAAAAAAAAAAAAAGAGTAAAGAAATTTATTTTTGATGTTAGTTTTAGCAGTGATATTGTAGTTAAATATTTTCATTCAACTATGTGAAAAACTGAAATCAGGTATGCTTTCCTTTTTTTTTTTTTTTTGCTTTATTGTTTATTTTAAAGATTTATCCATGTGTATATACCCAACAAACCATTCTCCTTTTAAAACATGCATTAACATTTCAGATCCCTAATGCATGTTTAGTGGTTGCCTCTGGGAAGATATGAAGGATGACATTTTATTCTTGCAGTGCTTTACTTTTACAAGAACACCTGGACTAAATATGGAAAAAAATAAATTTATGAAATATGGCTGCTGGGTTCATGAAAATCTAATTTACTTTCTGCAAGTTTGAAAGTTTTATACATATGAAGGAAAACAACTGATTAACATACCTCTTTGAGCAAGCACCCATGTAAAAAACACCCATTTAGTTATTCCAGCTACTCAGGAAGCTGGGTCAGGATTATAAATTCAAGTCCTGCTTGGGCAATTTAAAAGTGAGACCCTGTCTCAAAATGAAAAATAAAAAAGGATAGTAATTTATTTCAGTGGTAGAATGTTCCTGCATTTAACTCCCAGCACTACCCCTCAAAAAAAAAAAAATTAGGAGAAAAAGTACCCATTTATTTAAAAAAAAAGTACTGTGAGTTTCTATTATAAGATCACATATTAAGCTGGGCATAGTGGTACATGACTGTAATCCTAGGAGCTCAGGAACCTGAGGCAGGAGGATCTTAAGTTCAAAGATAGCCTCAGCAATTTATCAAGGCCAGGCCCTAAGCAACTCAGCAAGACCCTGTCTGTAGATAAAATATTTTTTAAAAGGCTGGAGATGTGGCTCAGTGGTTAAGTGCCCCTGGGTTCAATCCCCAGTACAAAAACCAATAAATTAAAAATCGTATATTAAAAAGAAAATTTAAGGGTAAATTTTTTTTACCCTTAAATTGAAAAAGGATAACTATTAAAATGTCAGAAAAAAATATATATATTTCTGCCTTTGCCCATCTTCACTATATTCTATAGAAACCAGTATAAATGTGTGAAAAAATATTAGATCTTATAACTTCTCTTTATATATGTATGTATGTATGTATATATATATATATATATTTTTTTTTTTTTGAGGTGATGGGGACTGAACCTAATGCCTTGAGATGCTAGGCAAGTGTTCAAGTGTTCTACCACTGAGCTACATCATCAGCCCTTTTTATTTTATTTTGAGACAGTCTCTTGCTAAATGCTCACACTGGCCTCAAACTTTTGATTCTCCTGCCTCAGCTTCCTGAGTCACTGGGATCATAGGCATCTACCACTATACCCAGCTTATGAATTTTAATTTTAGAATACAGAGGAATACAGATGTGTGACTCTCAAAAGTTGAAATTTTATTATGTAAAATTAAGACTTCATTAAAGCCTATACAACTACCTGCACTCGGATGACTGAAATATTTAGTGTAGGGATCTGTAATTCTCAATACCCATATTTGACAGTCGGCTTTACAGCTCTTCTTTTGACCCAATATGGTCCAAACTAAAGTCTTGAACCCCGGCAACACACCCAAACCTATTTTTTTTTTTTTTTTGGAGGGAGGACTGGGGATTGAACTCAGGGGGACTCAAGCACTGAGCCACATCCCTTGCCCTATTTTGCATGTTATTTAGAGACAAGGTCTCACTGAGTTCCCAGTCCTTTTTAATTTTATTTTAAGACAAGGTCTCATTAGGGTCTCCTAGGCTGGCCTTGCGCTTTTGCTCCTCCTGCATAGCTGGGATTATAGGTGTTCCTCACCATACAAGATTTCATCTCTGCATTAATGCTTGCGTATTTGCAATAGCACTCTAACCATTATCCCAATTTCTGCCTTTGCCCATCTTCACTATATTCTATAGAAACTAGCATAAATGAGTGAAAACATGTTAGATCTTATCACTTTTCTTAAAATTATTCAGTGATTTTCCATTTCACTCTGGGTAAAAGCCAAAGTGCTTTAGATGGTCAACAGGCCCCAAATTCATTACTTATTGCTGTGTAACAAAGTAACCCAAACTTAATTGCTTAAAACAATATCCCTTTATTATTTCTCAGTTTCTGTTGGTCAGAGATCTGATCCTGGGTGTTTTAGGAGGCTGCAGTCCGTGTGTTAGCTGAGGCTGTGTTCATTCCAGGGCTGGAATGCAGGACCTAATGTCAAACTCATGTGGCTCTTGGCAGGCCTTGGGAACCTACCTGACTATTGGTCAAAGAAATCAGTTTTTTCTCACGTGGCCCTTTGCATCAGGCTAATAACAACATGTCAGCTTACTTCCCTAGGAGTGAGGTGTGAGTGTGTGTGTGTGTGTGTGAGAGAGAGAGAGAGAGAGAGAGAGAGAGAGAGAGAGAGAGAGAGAGAGAGATTCCCTACCTGCCATTCTTTATGCTTCTCTATGGCATTTATTACTATTAAATATTTCATGAGATTTATGTATTTTCTGTTCCTCATTTCTCCATCCCCATTATAATATAAGCTATGATGCAGAAAATTTTGTATATTTTGTCCACTATTTTATCTGTAATGATTAGAACAGTATTGAGCATATTAAAAACAAATACTAAATAAATAAAATAATTTAAAAAATATTTAAGGAGTCTTAAAAACAGACATCCATTTGTGGTGAAACCCCATAGCACTTAGCAATTCTGTAAAAAACTAGTCTGTTTGTGAGGCAGAATCAACAGAGATGACTTTGGGTATCCTAATAAGAGACAAAAAGTTTATAATAAGACACCAAAAAAAAAAAAAAATCCAACAAACCACACAGAACATCATTACCATCAAATACCACACACACATACATACACACATGCATGCACACACACACGTAGATGTTGCAACATGATTATGAAGATTTGTCAATTTGTTTTTTGTCTTGGATTCAATAACAGATCTTACCCTTCATGCCAGCACTGGAGAGTTTTCAGGGTAGAAGCAGCTTTCTTTTCTTAGAAGTAGAACACACCTGAAAAGGAAGATGGTGAACCCCACTGTGAAGTATGGGCTCCTCCTGAGAAGCCAGGCAAGCATGCCCAGGAGATGGACTAGGAACTTATAAACTGTCCATGCTGGTGAACAGTCTGTGGTCATGCTGTATTATACTCCACAGGATTTATTTCTCCATGTGAACTGACATCTCAGAAGGTATTCGCTGTGTCTCTGAAAGTGGTGATGACCTTGGTGATGTGGTTGTTGAACTTGTTTCGGGCACCAATCCATTGAGGTACAAGTTTCTCCTGATGGAAGTGGCCCTTACTCAGGAGGGCTTCCCAAAGAGAACTGAGAGGCATGTTTAAACTGTTAGAGAAGGATGATGTCAAAGTTCCTAATCTCAGCCCCTGGCTATGTCCCTGCCCCAACAGAAACACATAAATTCCTTTTTCCATTTCTCCTTTGTGTCTGCTTCATTGTTTTTCCTTACATAAACTTCTAAGATCCTATTGGCCAACCTCCAATCCTACTTAATTGCCCAATCCAGTTATCTTATATCACCTACGAAAAGTACACTTCAGATTGAATTAATTGAAAAGGAGTTAAACTAATGACAGTAAATATCAGTTTTTCAAACAGAATCCTATAAAGGAACATTCATCTTTAAATCATATGCATCTCATTTTGAAATCCTCTCATAGAATATATGCATTCCTCTTATATCTAAATTTTATCTGAAGTAGATTGCCATGTTCTCTTTTTAAAAATTTTTTTTTTAGTTGTAGATGGACACAATACCTTTATTTTTATTTATTTATTTTTGTGTAGTGCTGAGGATTGAACCCGGTGCCTCACACATGCTAGGCAAGTGCTCTACCACTGAGCTACCAAACCAGCCCACCAGCCTAACTTGTTCTGGTTCTTTTGCATTTTCCAACCCTCCTTTTTTTTTTTTTAACAGCTCCTGGCCACAGTGGGAACCATGATCCCTCTCCCTTACATCTGGCTATATTCCCAGAGTTTTCATTTCCATGTGGCACATTTTTATGCTCATCTTGGGTACCCCAGTGCTCAACATATTGTTGGGCAGAGATACCTGAAAGGTAACTTTCTTCCTCTCTTGTTATTCTCCTGTGGGAAAGGTGGGGGAGGGATTTGCTGATTAGAGTTCTAGATCTATAGGTTTGTAGGTTTTAGCATTAAGTACTTCCTTTTTAACTGAGTCCTTTTTTTTGCCCCTCCCCCCCCACCATATCTTTTTGGCTTACCAAGGAGCTGGTGTGGTGAAAGATGAAGAAAGGGCAATGCATTGGTTTAGGTAAGAAAGATGTTTTCTATTGAAAAGCAAAACTCCAGTGCTATCTGTTCAGGTAGTGCTGAGCTCAAAAACTTTATGATTTGGGTGAATTTTTCCAGAACCAAAATAAGGTAAAAATATAAAGTCTCTTAATCCTAAAGTCTTGGTACCTTCCACTTAGTGGTGAGTTAGCAGTGGGTATAGAAGTGGTGGGGCCAATGCATTTTAAAACAGACTGCCCCAATAAGGAAACAGTAGATTAGCTTTAAAAGAGCCAAAATAAGGAACATGCAACATTCTAGGTCAAGATTCAGAACATTAATAATGCTATTGAGTTGGTCACAGTCTTGGTTACAGTGCCTATTTTCTCAAATACTCAGAAGGCTGAGATAGGAGGATCACTTAGGCTCAGAAGTTTGAGGGTAGCCTAGGCAATACGGTGAGAACTTGTCTCTAATAATAACAATTTTATTAACAATGGATTGTGTATTATCTTATTCATTACATGTTGGAGCTCTTGACCATAAAAGATACATTTATTTAAACTCACAAACTGGGCTATAAGTTAGAATCACCTGGCAAGCTTTCAAAAAAATATTGATGCCCAGCTACAGATTGACATAATTGAGCAGAAAAAGATCCCCAGGTGACCATAAGTGACGCTGAGTCCAACCACTACTTTGCAAATCTACCATGATCTTTAGAGTAAACTTGAATCAAAAGAGGAAGGCACTTCAGCAACATATTCCAGCATGAGGCTTAAAATAGGTATTCTGATAAAGTTCACCTGACAACAGAAAGGACACATTTGAGAATCAGAAAGGGACTGCCACGGCTCCAGAGTGGCAAAGTGTGGCTGATGATAAGCTATATTTGGCTGGAACTCTTCTCCTGGGAATCTAGGCCACATCCCCGTAGCACTGGCATCCTGGGTTGGGTGCTTGTTGGAAATGCAGCATCTGAGTCCCTAACCACACCCATCGAAGCAGAATCTTCATTTTAACAAGTCCCGAGTGACTACTATATGCATTAGAGTTGTAAAATTGTTGCCCTAAACAACATTTTGTAAACCAGGTCCTTACATGGGACCATAAATTAAAAGCAAGTTTGAAACATACTTTCATCTTTTAGAGATGCCTTCCACTGTCAGGGATTGGGTAGAAAAAGCATTTCAAAGGAAAGATTTATCTCTGTATATTTGAAAAATAGAATTTGTGGTTTCTTTTGCCATATGAAATAAATAATTTATACCTAATGAGAAAAACATTGCCAAAATGAAAAACAAAAATCAGCTTTTAACAAAACAGTAAAAGCTATTTTTGACATTTTAGTAAGTATTCTTCTGGACTTTTTTCAATTAATACATGTCTTAATTTACTTAAATATTTCATTATTTTATGTTTAGTTTTTCTGTAGCTTCTTGCTATCAGAAGCTACTGTTGTGAAGAGCCTTTCATATGTTCATATACATATGATTATCTGATTGTTTTTTATAGAAAAATCACTAAAAACGGAATAACCAGGTCAAACAAACATCACTGCCACTATCCTCAGAGTTTATCCTAGTTCACTGTAGAATACATGCTAAGTATGATTATGTCAAAATGAACCCAACTATTATGCATAACTATAATGTGCTAATAAAAGCATAAAAAATGCATGTCTGTAATCTCAGCAGCTTGGGAGGCTGAGGCAAGAGGATCATGAGTTCAAAGCCACCCTCAGCAATAGCAAGGCGCTAAGCAATCCAGTGAGACTCTGTCTCTAAATAAAATACAAAATAGGGCTGGGAATGTGGCTCAGTGGTTGAGTGCCCCTGAGTTCAATCCCCGGCACCCTCCCCCCCCCCAAAAAAAAATTACAAAAGCATAAAAATAGAATAAATGCTAAATTTTTGTAGACTAGTCAACATTATTTTTAATCATTTGCTCATCTTTGCTAATTTGAGTAACAACATAAGGATGAGTCATTTGCATTTTTTCATTTCATTAATTGTGTGGTTGAATTTTATTTATAAACATCTATTGGTAATTTCTTTTTCTTTTCCTGCCAATTGTGCATTCATGCAGTTTGCCCATTTTTTTTTTTGCATTGGATTTTTTTATTTTCTGACTCATACTTAAGTATCCATTAAAGATAGCAAACCTTTTGTACATTTCCATTTACTTCTAACACCCCACCCCCCAGTCATGGTTAATATGGAAATAACTGCAATGTAACCAGGTAATAATTTCGTAAGTGGTAGTGCTCCAAATGGTAGCCACCAACCACATGTGGTCATATAAATTTAAGCAAATTAAAATTACATAAAATTTCAGTTCCTCAGCTGTACTATCTACATTTCAAGTGTCCAATAGCCACATGTGTTCAGGGCCTACTGGCTTCGTGCAGATACTGGTCACTTCCATCTTTGGTGAAAGTCCTGTTGAAAAGTGTTAGAGTATTACATTCCCATTTCAGCAACTGGTAACAGTGCTTAAAATATCAGGTTATGTATTACTCAACTAACATTTCTAAATGACCCTTTCTGTATTTTGATTTCCTGTATATTTTGGAGAGAAGACTATAATTATATCTGGAAAAGTGAATGAGTAGGTTGAGAGCAAATAAGTGATTCGTTTTTTTAAAAAAGTACTTGTTTCAAATAAAAGAAACATTTTTAATGAAGGAGGCTTTTAACATCTGTCTAGATGTGTGGTAAGATGGAAGTAATGGTTTCCAGTATTGGTTACATGTTTTTATTGGCACAGTCCTCGGTTTTATTAAAGGGATGCTTTTCCATGGAGTTGTTTGCTCATTTTCTATTCTACACCCCTGCCACCCTACCCCACCACACTGGTCCCTTTTTCTCCTTTCTTTTTTAGACAAGCCTCACAGCAGGACCATCGTCATGCCGCCTTTAACCTTGCAGTAGGAAAGCTGAAAAACACAACTGGGGCCCATGGAAGTCGGGTAATGACAACTGTCTTGTCCCTTCCAGCTGATATGTCATTCCTTCCAAACTTGCCCCTATATATCACCTGCAATTGTTAGGCAAAGACATTTTATATATTGTTTACTTACTACTCTCCTCTTTCTGTATTCTTATATTGCTTCCTCATGATAAAAGTCACAAATCAAGGGAATCCAAGATTCATATTTATGCATAGATTCCACTGATTAAATTCTCCTCCTCCTCCTCCTCCTCCTCCTCCTTCTTCTTCTTCTCCTTCTCCTTCTCCTTCTCCTTCTCCTTCTCCTTCTCCTCCTTCTCCTCCTCCTTCTCCTCCTCCTTCTCCTCCTCCTTCTCCTTCTGTACTGAGCATTGAACCCCAGGGCATTCTACCACTGAGCTGTACCCTCAACCCCTTTTTATTTTATTTTGAGATGGAGTCTAGTTAGGTTGCCCAGGCTGGCCTTGAACTTGGTGATCCTCCTGCCTCAGTCTCCTCAGTAGCTGAGGTTATAGACATGTGTGCCACCAGGTCCAGCCCACTAATTAAAATCTTGTCTTTCAATGAGCCTAAGCTGAAAGGCCAGGTTACTTTATGGTTCTTATACTTCCTGTGACTTCCTAATCCCCCCTGGGGTACCATCTTTATTGTCTTATAGAATTTTCTTACAAATTGAAAATAATAGTTACGAACATTAGGTAGATAGAATATTAGGTAGCTAGAATAAGAATATTAGGTAGATAATACAATACACGCAGATTTCCTTTGTGTGTATTGTATTATCCTCTTTTGATTAGTCATAGTCTAAAGAAATACACTATTACTTTTTTAGGGGAAGTTTTTCTTAATATTTTTGAATAGTTCATAGTCTGTGACATTTTTATGCAGATATTTTGAGTCAGAGATATTTTGACAGGGTCCCCCAAATAAACCATTACATTTTCAGCGGGGAGGGGAGTACTAGGGATTGAACTCAGGGGCACTTGACCACTGAGCACATCCCCAGCCCTACTTTGTGTTTTATTTAGAGACAGGGTCTTACTGAGTTGCTTAGTGCTTTTGCTGAGGCTGACTTTGAACTCACGAACCTCCTGTCTCAGCCTTCTGAACCCCTGGGATTACAGGCATGCGCCATCGCACCCAGCTCAGCTTATAATTCTTTTTTTTTTTAAGTCATGCAACTGACATCTATTCCATTACCAAGTAAAATGTTTACCACCTCCCACAACTCCACCCTTAGGCTAAGGAATAAGCAAAGATTATAAAGAGAAAGGCTCATCTGGTATGGTGGTGCATGCCTATTATTATCAGCTTGGAGGATCCCAAGTTCAAGGAAAGCCTTGGCAACTTAGTGAGATCCTGGTTCCATGCCAGTACCACCCACCCTACATACACACACATACAAAGAAGGCTCAGTTAAGGGCGTAAGGATGGAATAAATATTGGGAATTGGTATAATGTAGTCAGGAATATTGGTTGCATGACTACATGGTAATGAAATTTTGAAATGACCTTTTTTTTAAATTTTTTATTGTTGGTTGTTCAAAACATTACAAATTTCTTGATATATCATATTTCACACTTTGATTCAAGTGGGTTATGAACTCCCATTTTTACCCCATATACAGATTGCAGAATTACATCAGTTACACATACATTGATTTACATATTGCCATACTAGTGTCTGTTGTGTTCTGCTGCCTTTCCTATCCTCTACTATCCCCCCTCCCCTCCCCTCCCCTCCCCTCCCCTCTTCTCTCTCTAAACCCTCTACTGTCATTCATTTCTCCCCCTTGTATTATTTTTCCCCTTCCCCTCACTTCCTCTTGTATGTACTTTTGTATAACCCTGAGGGTCTCCTTCCATTTCCATGCAATTTCCCTTCTCTCTCCCTTTCCCTCCCACCTCTCATCCCTGTTTAATGTTAATCTTCTTCTCATGCTCTTCGTCCCTACTCTGTTCTTAGTTACTCTCCTTATATCAAAGAAGACATTTGGCATTTGTTTTTTAGGGATTGGCTAGCTTAAATGCTCACCATCTCTAGCTGTCAGAGAAATGCAAATCAAAACCACCCTAAGATACCATCTCACTCCAGTAAGATTGGCAGCCATTATGAAGTCAAACAACAACAAGTGCTGGCGAGGATGTGGGGAAAAGGGTACACTTGTACATTGCTGGTAGGACTGCAAATTGGTGCAGCCAATTTGGAAAGCAGTATGGAGATTTCTTGGAAAGCTGGGAATGGAGCCACCATTTGACCCAGCTATTCCCCTTCTTGGTCTATTCCCTAAAGACCTAAAAAGAGCATGCTACAGGGACACTGCTACATCGATGTTCATAGCAGCACAATTCACAATAGCAAGACTGTGGAACCAACCTAGATGCCCTTCATTAGATGAATGGATAAAAAAAATGTGGCATTTATACACAATGGAGTATTACTCTGCATTAAAAAATGACAAAATCATAGAATTTGCAGGGAAATGGATGGCATTGAAATGACCTTTTTAAGGCAGCCAAGTCAATGTGTTATAGTCAACATGTTCTATTTCACAACTGACAGTTGTCAGATGGACAGGTTTGTGGGTTTGTAGAACTCCTCTCCAATTAGCATTCCCAAACCAACATATAGAATTTGCTTGCAAGAGTGAGGCACCTCAGACATTACACAAGATTCTTGACTAGAAAAATTCCTTTAAATAATGCAAAAGAATCCAGCTGATCTCTGCTATTTTAAGAATATTTGTTTGGGTAGCTCTGATTTTGTTATGAAGACACTCATGATAAAACCCAGCTAACATGTCACATATTCTTCTCAGTACCTTAGAATGAGTTTAGGTGTTAACTTGGTCCTTGGCCCAAACATTTGGACACACATATCCTTTCAGTTTACTCTTCCTTTGCATCACTAAATAACTGCCTCTTCTAGGGATATACAGATGCTCCTTAATGTTGCTGCAAGACAGGGGATCCAAGAAGCCCAAGAACTTCTGGAGAATGTTATTTTGACTCAAAGCAAGCTCTTGTCAACTAAAGGAACAAGGAGGTTCTACAAATCATAACTGTGTCCTACATGCTCCTCCTAGAACATGGCATCTTTTGCTCTCACTTGTCTGTGGCCTTGCAAAGCTCCATGGAACTTTCAATAGAAGCTGCTTTTAGAGATAGTTTTATATGTTGCTTAATCACCAATTTGCTGCTCAAAATCCTTTAAATAAGGTGTTGTTTTGATGTTTTTCTGAGGTTGACCTCTCCTGGATAGAGAAATATTTTATTTGGATTCCATTACTGCTCACTTCAGCTAACTTTCATTCAAGTCAGTGAGCATTCGACAAAATGGTAGAAGGAAAAGAAGGAAGAAACCTGTCTCACCAGAGAGTTGGCTTCTTAGATGTGTTACTTGGCTCCGTCAGATCCACTGAAGGAGCTAAGCTCATCATCAGCCTAATCTATGACATGTGGTGCTCTGCTTAAAATAAGGTTGTTTTCATGTCTCTACATTTCAATTTTCTGCTCTATTAGGTTTCTATGATATTATATTCACTTTTTGTATTACAAAAAGTTCTTTATAGGATTAAAAATGAGTATGATTATTGTCATCAAAAAGAAAAAGAATCAAAGATAAGAGCTAACATTTATTGAACACTCGTCTTGAGGAAGATATTTTCCTACCTGCTTTGTGTTTTAACATTCAGTAGTTATAAAAAAAAAGTCTTATGAACTGAGTAGTAGTATCACTCTCATTTTACAGACATGGAAAAATAATTGAAGAGAAGTTAAGTAATATTCACAGAGTCTTAGAGAGTAAGTGGTAAAGTGGGATTCTGAATTTTGATAGTCCGACTTTAGAGTCGACATTCTTACCTAGTTCTACTGATGTCACTCCCCCCAAGTTATGAACTTATCCTTCCGAACAACTAATTTAGAGAGTAGATAACTAGGTTTGTTACTAGTACATAGCAAACACTTACTTAGTCAATAACTCAGCCACATTTCTGTCTCTTTCTTTCTCTCTCTCTCTTTCTTTCTTTCTCTCTTTCTTTCTTCTTTTTCTTTCTTTCTTTCATTGATTGAACCAAGGGGCACTCTACCACTGAACTACACTGCCAGCCCTTTAAATTTTCTTTTCTTATTTTGAGACAGTATCTCTCTAAGTTGCTGAGGATGACTGGAACCTGTCATCCTCCTGCCTCAGCCTTCCCCGGGGTCACTAGGATTATAGTTGTGCACCACCATGCCAGGTCCCATTTTCTTATTGTATTATTTTCTTTAAGCACAAGTTACGTATTTCTATTTTTCAAGAAGTGTTTTGTTGTTGTTGTTTTAGTTTTCTTGGTACTAGGAATTAACCCAGCTTTGTCACTGAGCTACATCCCCAGACCTTTTTATTTTATTTTTTAAGACGGATCTCACTAAGTTGCTGAGACTGGCCTCAAACTTGCAATCCTCCTGTCTCAGACTTCCAAGTTGCTAAGGGATTACAGGCCTATACCATCAGGGCTGCCCACAAGTGTTATTTTTAACCTTAAGTGCAGTTGGCTGTATTTATTGCATTAGATTGTAGCATAGTTCTCTACTTGGAATATAAATTCAGAAACATGATGTGAGGATGACAAAAGTGTCAAATTAGAATTCAGTGTAACGATTAGGCTTTATTTAAAATACTTGTTTCCCTTTTAAATGTCAAGTTTATACTGCCTAATAGCAGTAGAAACCTCAGAAGATGACTGTGAGCCTTAGGCTATTTCTTCTTCATCCAAGTGGAACCCATAGACTTTTAAGGATGTAGATGAGATGGTCAAATGTTGTTTTGTGCTTCATTTTTTATGAAGCAATTTTAAACTTTTCAATGTAGAAATCCCTAGACCATAAACTAAATTCTCCCCCTGAACCTTTAGAGATAGCATTTTAAAAATCCTTGCAACTACTTCAAATTTTCTTACATTTCCTCGGGGGACTTATTTTTTATTCCATCAATGTTGTTTGAGATACATTACTGGAAATTTTATTCTGAGCTACAAATACTCATTTAAATAATACTAGGATAATCATCATATAAATGTTCATTTATACCTTTGTATCACTCCCCAGCACTTTCCCCTCCGTCCCCACCACCCATCCTTTGGTCCCTTTCCTCTGGCGATCTCCCTTTGATTTTCATGAACTCCATTCCCACTTTTCTTTTCCTTTTTCTCTCTGGTTTCTGCATATGAGAGAAAACATCCAACCCTTAACCTCCTGAGTTAGTTTGACTTATTTTGCTTAACATAATGTTCTCAAGTACCCTCCATTTTCCTGCAAAGGACATGATTTCATTTTTCTTTATGGCTAAATAAAGCTCCATTGTGTATCTATACCACATTTTCTTTATCCATTCACCTGTTGATGGACACTTAGGCTGGTTCCATAGTTTGGCCATTGTGAATTGTGCTGCTGTAAACATGGGTATGCAAGTATCACTGTAGTAAGATGACTATAATTATTCAGGATAAATATTGAGAAGTGGGATAGCTGGATTATATGGCAGTTCCATGCCTAGTCTTTTGAGGAACCTCCATACCGATTTCAATAATGGTTGTACTAAGTTACAGTCCTACCAACAGAGTAAAAGTGTTTCTTTTTATCCACATTCTCCCCAGCATTTATTATTATTTGTATTTTTGATGACTGCCATTCTGACTGGTATGAGATGAAATCTCAGTGTAGTTTTGTTTTGTGTTTTCCTAATTGCTAGAGATGAACATTTTTTCATGTATTTGTTGGTCATTTGTATTTCTTCTTTTGAAAAGTGTCTGTTTAATTCACTTGTCCATTCATTAATTGGGTTATTCGATTTTTAGAATTAAGTTTTTTGAGTTCTTTATGTATTCCAGATATTAATTCTGTCAGAAGAGTAGCTTGCAAAGATTCTAATCCCATTCTGTAGGTTCTCCTCTTCACATTCCCAATTGTTTCCTTTGCTGTGCAGAAACTTTTAATTTGATGCTGCCTCATTTATTTATTCTTGACATTATTTCCTGAGCTTTAGGGCTCCTACTGAGAAAGTCATTGCCTATGCCTATATGCTGGAGTGTTAACTCCAAGTTACTGTACTTTAATTTAAAATTCTTTCAAAGGCATATTTACAGTAACAACCAAAACTTAAAATTGTGAAGGAATAACTATACATACATGTTTAATTTAAAAATTCCTTTAGACTATTTCTATAAATATCTAAACAACTAACATTGATTTAAATTGCTTAAGAATGCTAATATATCTTCTCTTAACAGTTCTTTGTTGCTGAAATAAAATAATTGAAGTAATTGAAAATGCATAATTACAAGTAGAATGACTATAGTCTTTCTATGAGGACTCACCTGTAAAAACCCTTCACTTTTGACTTTCATAAGACAGTGCTTGGCTATAAAATAGGGCATGATCCACCAGGCCATTAAGATTGAGGCAAAACCAGAGTGTGATGGATCAGGATTCCCCTGTATGCAGAGCTCTGCTTCTCCCGACACCCCCGCCTTTTTTTTTTTTTTCTTGGTAGCTGGGTTAAGGTTCAAGGGCAAAAGCAAGACATAAAAAGAAAATTGGAGCAGAGAAAGAGAGAGCAAAAGAGCAAGAATGAACTTTTACATATCTAGTTGGTTCAGAGATTTTGGTTCTGCTGTCTTTCTTCCTCCTTCTAGATCATGGTCGTTGAGACTTAGTTATCTCCTAAAAGCTCCCAGGTTTCCTGTTTAGCTATTCTGCAGTCTTGATCCTTTCTAGGGATCTATCTGGTTGTCAATATAAAAAAAAATCTTACATCGAATATGACATACATTTATGGCTCACAAATCTCTAGTCTACAACCAATGAATTTTATGTGTATATGGGACATGTAACCACCAAATGAAGATGTGGATTTCCAACATTATTTCCCAGTGTGGTATGGCCACATTGTTGATGGGACTTGAGGTAGATTAATGCACAAACTTTCATTGTAAATAGATGCCTTTCAATGATTTGAACAGAGTTAGACTTTTTTTAAAAAATATTTTTGTTGTTGTTGTTGTTGATGGACACAAAACCTTTATTTTATTTATTTATTTTTATGTGGTGCTGAGGATCAAACCCAGTGCCTCATACATGCTTGTGAAATAAAATAATTGCTCTACCACTGAGCCACAACCTCAGCCCCAGAGTTAGACTTTTAATTGTAGATTGTCACAGAAAACCCTGCAGTTTTCTGGTATACTGGACATAAGCTTAGCCAGGAAGCCAGGGAGAATTCAAACTAGTAGTTTCTTGAATTCAATTAGAGCACATTTATTGTAATCATAATTTACTACACAGAATCTTCTAAGGTAAAAAATCTATGTAATAGTACCCTAGTAAGCATTAAATCAAGTTATATATATATGTTATTAGTAAAGTCCATTTGAATCTTGATTCAACAATGACAATAATTTTTTTTTCATTTTATTAGAAAAATGTTCTTTGGCATGTAATAAAAACTGAATAAAACTGTTGATGAATGGCTTACACAAATTATCTAATGACAGCAATCATATTTGAATTAACTTTGTGGATTCTTAGCCCAGGGCTTAACTTACTATTAGGAAGTATTAATACACACACCACACACACACACACACACACACACATACACACACACATATATGTGTGTGTGTTTTGGTACCAGGGATTAAACTCAGGGGTACTTGGCCACTGAGCCACATCCCTATCCCTATTTGGGATTTTTATTTAGAGATAGGGTCTCACTGAGTTGCTTAGTGCTTCCTTTTTGCTGAGGCTGGCTTTGAACTCTGTGATCCTCCTGCCACAGCCTCCTGAGCGGCTAGGATTACAGGCATGGGTCATGTACCCAGCTTAGCATTTTATATTCTTAATGAGGTTTGAATATCTAGTCATTTTTTTTTCAGTGCTGGAGATCAAACCATTGCACATGCTGGGCAAATACTATTGAACTACATCCATATATATCCCCAGTCCCTGTCATGTTCTATTCTTTTTTTTTTGGTCAAACAAGTAACATTTATTTGTCATTTATTATGTATTGAATGGTTTGCTAAACACTATAGATGTAGTAGAAAATATAAGGAAGGTACTATTATTATCTCCATTTTATGAATAAATGAGGACAGCAGGTTTAGAAAGATAACTAGTCTAGGATCATACCAGTGGCAAGTGCATTGTAGAAAACCAAAAAGATTATAAGATAATAGAATAAAAGTCACTCACAAATCTATGCCTGGTTATTATTATTGCTAACATTTGGATTATTCCCTCATTCTATACATGTCATGATAGATTAGTGAAATTATACCAAATACACAGTTTTCTATTTTCATTTTCTCCCTTAGTGGTATGCTAACGTTTTGCCTCTTATCATGTCACTGATTTTTGCTAGATTATCTTTAATGATTGCAGAACATTCCATTGTGTGGATATGATTTGTATCTAATGCTGCTTTGATATTGATACAAGTTTCCTTTTATCCTTCTGCTCTAGGAAATAATATTCCAGTGAACATCTTCGGCTACATTTTGGATTTTTCCTCAGGTTGCATTTTTTAAAATTTTTTTTAGTTGTAGATGGACACAATGCCTTTATTTATTTTTGTGTGGTACTGGGGATTGAACCCAGTGCCTCACATGTGCTAGGCAGGTGCTCTACCACTGAGCCACAACCCCAGCCTCCCCAGGATACATTTTCAGGCTTGGAATTCTATGACAAATAATCAAACAGTTTTAGGTCTTAAAGAAATAAATTGGCTAACATGTTCAAATGAATTTACAAAAAAGAATCATAAAATACAGGAGAAAAACTAAAAGTAAACAATCAGCTCCTAATATATAGGTTGTTTCCTAAAATTAGAATTTTCACTTTAGGATAATTGTAGATTCACATATATTGGTAGGAAATAATACATAGAGATCCTGTTGCCCCTCACTCCATTTCTGCAGTGGTAATGTCTTAAAATCATAAGACAGAGCCACAGCCAGTGCATCTCGGTGCTGCAATCAAGATGCAGAGCATTCCTGTCACATTGCTGTCATGACTACACATCTGCCCTAGCCCCTATTCCAGATCCCAGGCAATCAATAATCCATTCTCTATTTCTATAATTTTGTCATTTTGAGAATGTTATATAAATGAAATCATAAAGTACATGACCGTTTAAGATGTCTTTACTCAGTATAATTTCCTGGAGAGTCATCCAAGTTGCTGTGTGTATTAATAGCTTGACCTTTTATTCCATGGTATGTATGTTTAATCATTCACTCATTGATGGACATCTGTGTTGGGCCCCATTTTTTAGTACAATGAATAAAGCTGTAGTGTGCACAGGTTTTGATTTGTGCAACCTTGGCTCTCCTGTTTTTTACACAGATATATCAGCCTGCAGGTAAGCATCTCAGCTCAGCTCCATAGAGTCCACTTCCCTGGAGAGTTATTGAATACACTAACTTTGGGTCTCTTTAAGTTCTGCACTGGATCCTGGGAGACACTGCTTGCTTCTTTTCCATAGCTGGTCCTGCATGTCACTCACATACCTGTAGTCATGTATGTGAGAAAAAAAGCATAGAAAGGTATTTTCTTGCTCTCTTTCCACCCCAAACTCATTCTATTCTCTCAAGGATGCAGGAGAGCACACTTGCATGTTCCAGGTTTGAAATGATCGTGCCAGCGTTGTGCTTCTGAAGTGGATTGCCCTTTCAGAGTCTATTTTCTCAGACATGCAATGACAACCTAATAGAGTTGTGAAGATTAAATGAGCTGATATTTTAAAAACACAAAACAATCCTTCACATGAAGTCATCGGGCTGAAGGTTGTTTTGTTAAAGTTGTCTGGCATGAGGAAATAGTCACATTTAGTCAGAGGCAGATTTACAGTGACTTAAGTGAAATTTAGATTTTATTGAAGTTTTTATTTTTTTTTTGATACTTTTTATTTTTTGATACTGAGGATTGAATCAGGGGCACTTTACCACTGAGCTACATCTTGAGTGCTTTTTATTTTATTTTGCTGAAGCTGGACTTGAATTTTTTGTCCTCTTGCCTCAGCCTCTCCAGTGGCTGGTATTATAGGTATGCACCTTGACCTCTTTTTTTTTTTTTTTTTTTGGTTCCAGGGATTGAACCCAGGGCTACTTAACCATTGGCTCACATTCCCAGCCTTTTCTTGATCACATTTGCTCTTGTGTCAACTGTCATTGGAGGGTTGTAGGCCCTTAACTGTGGGAAAGCTGAACTGGGAATATGATTAGTTTGGGTTTATGGGATATATTTATTTTTCCTCCGCCTCACCCAGGATACCTTCCCTCATACAATCTGGTGGGTGTGGCAACATCCACCATGGTCACCATGACAACCTCAAAGAACTCAGACTGCCCTCCATGCAGGTGCAAGGCCACAGGTGTGGCCAACCTGCTGATCGTGCGGTACCCAGCTTCAGAAATACATAGGTGGTGGAGGAGGAAATTTTGCTTTGACATGTATCTTAGATGCAACTGGTGGAAAATTCTTCTAAACCTTAGAGTTCACATGTTAAAGAAATCTGATAGAAGTCTTCCTGATATCGACCACAGTCCTAAAAATGTATATGAAATGACCAGTAATGAGTTGAGAAACTGAAACTTTTATCAAACATCAATAAAATAAATTTGAACAACCCTGCTCAATGAGATAGTGAAGTCCTTCTGTTCTCTGTGTAGAAAATATAATTGTCCAAAAAGTTGCCCAAAGAGCATGAAGTCCAAAACAAACAAACAAACAAATAAATAAGGAAAAAGATGACTTAGAAATGTGTTAGGAAGGTAATTGACAAAATTATGTCATTTTCCTGCCAGGCAAGGTGGCACATGCCTGTAATCCTAGCGGCTTGGGAGGCTTGTGAGTTCCAAGCCAGCCTTGTCAAAAGAAAGTGCTAAGCAACTCAGTGTGACCCTGTCTCTAAATAAAATACAAATAGGGCTGGGGATGTGGCTTAGTGGTCGAGTGCTTCTGAATTTCATCCCTGGTACCGCCCCCACATGCAAAAAAATATGTCATTTTCCTGGTTGATTGAATGTTTCAGTATTTGACAGTTTTTAACTTTTTAAATGTGATTTCTTGGGGCTGGGGATGTGGCTCAAGCAGTAGCGTGCTCGCCTGGCATGCGTGCGGCCCGGGTTCGATCCTCAGCACCACATACAAACAAAGATGTTGTGTCCGCCGAGAACTTAAATAAATAAATAAATATTTCAAAAATAAATAAATAAATAACTTTGATTTCTTTTCCAGTCCCTGATATTTTTTGATTTACAAGTTTGCAATCTTTTTCTGAAGAGAGCTCTCAAGCTGGATAAGCCCCTGGCCACCCATTCCCTGTGATCACACACCCTGATGCAGATGACCAAGAAGCACTTTGTAGACAAAACTACGTTTGGGTTCTTCTTGGTTGTGAGTTCTTAAACACTATATAACTAAGAAACTTGAATTATGTATTTGTAGGGATAGGATTTTTCAAAAGTGTTCATTCTGCACCCACATTGCTTTAGGTCTTTTTGGCAAGCCATGTATTGCCTCTGCCTCACTGAAGGAGGAAAGGGGGATTAAATCAGCTGTCAGGCTTGCTGCTGTCTTCCGAAATAATTCCCTCCAAAACCACGAAAGGAAAAGGATTTACCTTAAATGTACTTAGATATTGATGTTTCCTTGGCAACAGATTCTAAATTAAAAGTGAAATAGTGATTGAATATGTGCAGTTTTGTTAAAAAATGTGGGCTCTGAAGCAGCGGTCTCGGAAGCTTCTTCCCATCCTTTGTTAATTGAAAAGTGTTATTCTTAGATGCTGTCATGCAGTTAGAAAAATATGTTTTATAGGCAGGAAAATGAGAGTTCATTTCCCTTAGCTCTGAATCTCCCTCTGCTTTGGCCTCTAATGCTTTCTCATAGACAGTAGAACCATAGCCCTTCTTACCATGCACACCATGGAGATTGAATTATCAGTACCTTTCTCTAATTGAAGCCATTAGTTACAATTTTGTTGCAATTAAATTTAGACTAGTATGAACATAAGGTACATTATTAATAGAATATCCATTTTTTTTTCTTTAGATACTTTAAATTCCTTGGTTAGGCCAAATCATTCCAGTGCTACATTCTTTTCACAGTATAGTCCCCCCACCCCCCTTTTTCTCTAAAGAAATGCTTTTAAACTGGGAATATAGCTTAGAGGTAAATCACGAGCCTAGCATTTGCAAGGTCCTGAGTTCAATCTCCAATGTTTGTTGGTCTGTCTCTCTCACATACACTTTCACACATACGAAGAGATGTTATGATTTTATGTCTTCTTCTTCCTTTGAAAGATACTATAAGATTGACTTCAAAACTGTAGAATATTGCTCACTGTATCTTGGCTAATCACTGTATGTCCTGGTTCAGAAATTTGGGGATTATCTGGGAGCTGGTTAGAAATGCAGGATCTCAAACCCCACCCCAAAGCTGATGAATCAGAATCTGTATATTAAAATCCTTAGGTGGGTTATATAAAGTGAAATTTCAGATACACCATTATTTTACATTGCTGTTTATCTTCTTGAACATTGTTCAAAGAGAAAATTACAATAAATTGAATTTTGCAGATTTTTTTTTGAGAGAGAATTCTTTAATATTTAATTTTTTAGTTTTCGGTGGACACAACATCTTTATTTTATTTTTATGTGGTGCTGAGGATTGAACCCAAAGG